AGTTAGAACCTTAAATCAATAAGACTGGATCCAAGTAAATGAAAATCCAATCATTTAAGATCGCAAGTTACTGAGGTCCTCTCTTTTTTACTGTGCACACTGTACATTCTGTCTGAAAAATATGCGGCTTGATATTTGCAAAGTTTGTCCAGGAAAATTTTACGTTTCTTTTGAAAAATATAAGTCTTGGCAAAATACTATTGTACAAAAGAAAAATAGGATTTCAGTAGTCAAATCTTAGGATTTCAGTAGCAACAAGCAAAGTACTGGAGTTGGAGATAGAAATCTCCGACACTGAATTCGGACTTTTCTAAAAGCCCAATTTCAACTTATCTAATGCTCTAATAACTCTTTCATCGCGACGGACGACATAACTCGTCTTCCAGGAATATTCACTAGGCTCTGTTGTTGTATTAGTGAATATATTTAATTGAAATCGATTATTATTTTAATAATCGATTATTATTAAGTAAAATAACCAAGTTTTAAATGAATTTGCGTTTCGTTTCAATTTTAGGGTCGCGAAGGAACTCTAAGCGCAGAGGATGGGACAAAGGCGCCTCATTGGCGCGATGAAAGTGTTTTTACTGAATACTAGTTAACTAATACTACTTTTATTACAAAGTAAATGTTAGAAACATAGGTGAAATCTCATAGCTCGGGGTTATTGAAAATGGAACGCTGCACGAAAAAACAACGCACTTTCAATGTTAAGCACCGTTGTGATATTTCCTGATCATGTGATTTCCAATTTTGGTGATTAGAATTGGTCGTCGAAATCACGCAATGAAACGCAATCAAACTTTTTTTCTTTGAAGATTTTTAAGGTTTACGCTTTAGGTTTACGTTTTTAAGGTTTAGGTTAAGTTTAAAGTTTGTGCCAACAAGTCGATGATGAAATTCAGAGCTATATCATAAATCTCAGTCACACTTATGCAAAACGGTCGGTGCAAATTTCGATAAAAGAATGTTTATGTGACAAAGAAGCTTCCTACTATTACCCGATTTGATGCTTAACCACGCACTGTTTGATGCATGAATCAATAAAATACATTCACAACTTTTGATTAAAAACCTATGTCATTATCAAAATTACTTTTCACTTGAATTTTGGGTCACCTTCCGTCCCCCTTTTCCCCCTAAGATATTTCCAAATGCATAGCATTTTTTTAGAAATGCTATGCAATAAGAATACGTTGGTGATGAAATAAAAAGTTACGTACTGCCATACTAAAATATATTATTTTTAGAATTTAAATATATCGAAACAAAACAATAGAGTTCACAAAAGAAAAAAAATGAAACTAACTACAATAATTAAAATTAATAAGGGATTTTAAACAACGCACTGTGGTGCAAAAGCAGAAGTAAAAAAAAAAAAACCGAAACTAGAAAAATAAAATCGGTTTTTCTTTTTATAGATATTCCGCCTTAAGTATTGTTTTCCATAACCAAATTAAACAAAATTACATTTAGTTTGGTAAGTAAAAAAAATGTAGGTGCAAAATATTGCATTAAAATGACAAAAACACGTGTCTTCAAGTAGTGAGTTCACGTTCTCACTGATAAAATAGTTTTCAATGCAATTTTTATTTGATCTTTCTTATTTGCTTACATAATACATTATTTGAAGAGTAAAAATTTTTAAAAACTTATAAAGGCGGACATAGTAGAACTAAAAGTAAGATTTGGCGTCGCTGCTTGCATCAAGGAATGTACAAAATTAGTTTCACGTCGAGATGGGTTTTTCTAATGTACACATCATAGAAACTTCTACGAAAAAATCAACCGCAAATATTTGCTAACATACTAATTATAGTTATTTTAGTTAAGGCTGTTTTTTGATGACTCCGTCATGTGAAATGATGTTGTTTTGCGAATAATATGCTATTGTTATCACTTCTGTGTATTTGCAACAGTTATTCATGACTGTCAAATTTAGCTTATCTAAAGCCACCGCTGTCTATGTTTATTTTGAAAATGGCTCAAAAAGTCAATACGGAGAAAAACCACAGTTTTGAGAAAATAAAAAGCGTTTCTGGTCTAATTTTTTAATATTTAAAAACCTATTTTAATACTGTATTACCTGGGCTTATAAAAATTTGCAAAAACTGATAAGGCAATAAATTCGATAATTTTTATCTAGATGGAAAAATGTCGCCAAAATGGCGATTTTTAAAAGAGTTTAATAACTTTTAAAATATTTAAGTTATTTGTCCGTTCTAAAGTTCATATAATTTTTCACGGGTTATATGATATATATATGTATATTTCAAACTCATCGCATTGTTTCAAGTGTAAGACATTTAAACTATGGCTCTTTTTATTTTCCTTAGCGACAGAGCTTCGTAAAAACAATGTTAAAAGAGAACAGCCCGGCCTTTCTCTCTCTTCTCTGGGCAAGTTTAAATTTACCTGCAGTGCAAATCTACCAGTCAGTAAAAAAGAAAGAATAATGGATAGTTAGTTTCCTCCATTCCTTGAGTAAAAATATTATAAGCCATACAAAAAGCAGAAAAACATCTCCCAAGCGGCGATGTTTTCCAATTTCTGAGGACAACTTCATACTCTGAAAAAAATTGCCTAATACCAGAACAAAAAATCAAAAATCACCGCTTACAAAATGTCGGAAGCTTTGAAAACTTTTCAACAGAATATACAAGGATTTTCCCTAAAATCAAAGATTTTGAACTAGTATGCAGGAGTACTAACTTGGAGAGCAAGTAAGGCATTCCATAAGAATTGAAAGTTTAACAGCAACCAATAGCCGGGAATGTGAAAAAAATATGTCCGGGCATTTTGATTGAAGACTTTGATTGAGCAACCGTACTTTTATTGCTTTAAATTATCTTGATTTTATGTTAATTTTAAAATTTTTTAGTAATTATTAACAAAAATTCAATTCAAATACGCCTAGAACAAATTGGCGAACTTGATTAAATAGTCATTAAGCTCGAGAAATGCTATAAACATTTCGGTGTTAAGTTTTCTAACAAATGTAATGAGTGTTCTAAGAAATTTTTAAATAAAGTTTCAAATACTTATAAATGTTTTTATGAAAACTTTGCTATCGAAAATAAAAATAGAAACTTATTTTTTTACAAATCAATTAAAAAAATAACATAGTCAATATTTCTGGCAGTAAATTGAAACGCTGTAACTCCGAGAGACATTTTTAACAAACTAAATTTTAAAAGAATAATAAGTTTACTATTTGAAGGAAAATTTTTAAATAATTTGAACAAGTTTTATTTTTATTAATTTGATAACGCTTTTTCATTAATATCACTGTATTATTTTTATTTAAAAAAAATGTATGTATGAAGAATAAACAAAATTCTTTATAATGTTATAAGACAGGGGAGGAGCTATATTTTGAAATTGAAAGTAACTTTACAGCTTTTTGCTATTATGTTAAATTTTAGAAACAGAACAACAGAAATGTTAACCGGGTGATGTTATTCACTCTGTATTTCAGTTTTTTATAGCGGATAAAGAAAACATAATTGATCTCTGAAATAAAAAAGTGTCAACCCACAATTTGGCTGCAGATAAAAAGATCTGTTACAGATACAGCAGAGATGTACGGCTTCTTATGAAAGTGAACCAGTATTGAGTTGTTGTCTCTCGAAAGAGACCCTAACTCCTCGAGTAGAAAGACAGCTTTTATTGGATATAATCATTTAAGATATGGGCTACCATATTTAACCCTTCGAGATCTTCAAATTTTGATATGCATCAATGAAATCTTCAATTCCTTAAAATAATCACCCTTATAATATGTTACTTTGATAATCATTTTATTCAGCCATTTCTTTAAATAACTCTTGTGCGCAAAGAACGTGTGCTTTTTTTTTCTAGTAAGTCGAATAGTAATGCTAAGCAAGTTTAGTAGTAATGTTAAAAAATTCGGGAATTCTAAAAGACAAAGTTTCGAAAGGAAAAAAAACTATAAAAGGATAACACAAACTTTTGTTGCGTTTATTGTTTACGATAAATATTTATTACCTATAGTAAATGTTTTATTACTGACAGTAAATATTTTTAAGTGAAAGAATATCAAGTTAAATGCTACAAAATATTAATTTTTAAACATGTAATATATAATGGCACAATACCAGGGTTGGCAAGTTTTTGACAAGGACAACACTTAGGCAGACAATTTGCTGTTTCAATTCTTCCTTCACAAATGTTACATTATCTTGAATAAGGATTACTCAGTGTCTGGTCTTTGACAACTCAGTTGGCAGAATAGAACGTCAATCCAACCTATGCATTGCTGTTAGGGGCGGATAATTTACTATCTAGAACTCAGTTTTGTACGGTATACCCGACAGTTTTCTATATCTGTAATGTACTGTTTTCACAGAAAAAGGACTTTTCTGTAAAGTGTGATTTTTAAGTTGTAAATCATTTTTTTTTTGAATTTATGTAAATTTCTATGCTGCATTTAAAAAAAACAGAGCAGTTTACAGCATATTTGCTCCATATATTTTGTTCCCATGTTCATCCATCTTCAAATAACCAACCCGTACCTTAACTTTTGGAGACCAGAGTATTTAAAATATAGAATACTTATTACTCACAAAAGATCTGCTGAACTAGTGATTTTAGTTCCTGAAAAACTAAGAATCAGCGGATATATTCAGCTACTTTAATCAAAAACAAAACATGAAAATTTGAATACCAATGATTAAGGTGTAAAGAGATCGCTCATGGGCTGCAATAGCGGCACAACTCAAAGAATCAAGTTTTTAGATAAGTGGGTTTAAAGCTTTCATTGTTAAGCAAAATGCATAAGAAATGCTTTAGTTTGCTTAAACCAAGATTACCTTCAAGTTGAATTATGAGTTGTGCTAGTATTGTTGCTGAAAGAATGTGTATTTTCATATTTACACATGTTCTTAATCCAAAACGCGTGTTTTTTTAGCTGTGCCACTATTGCAGCCCATGAGCGATATATTGAGAAATGTACGTGTATTGAAAATAATGAAAGCAAATTATTATCAAAATTTTAATTTTGCACATCTTACACAAATAATTCAGCAGCTTTTAATATACTTGTAAAAATAGTAGGTTTTAAACAGATCTTAAAGTCCATAAAAAATAATACCCTGTGCGATATGTCATTATTAGGGCATTTTAAATGAAAATTCTTTCAAAAGAGCACCTTAAAAAGCTATTAAAAATATATTTGGAATATATTATGCATTGAAATATAAATTGATGACATTCTTTACAATATAAAATATATAACTCTGCATATTTAGCCAACACAACAATAAATATTCTGAAAAGTTGAAAGAAAATAATGCGTGTATAATTGCAATACAAAACTATTTCACAATCATGCAGTTGAAGTTTATAGTAGTTTTGTTTTAGATCAAATATAAAAATGTATTCTAAGTTTCATTAGAAACAATTGCTTTTTTTAAACAATTTCGGCAAACTTTCAAGACTAGATTTACAAAGTCAGTGACTCAAAACAAAAATAATACTATTTTTAAATAATAAAACTTAAAGGCCATATTTTAAGAATTTGATTACTTCTTTGAAGGTGGTATTAAGTGCTCGGGCAACTCCTGTGGCATATCATGACCCTCTAACTTAACATTAATGAGATGCATGGCAAGTGCAAATTCATCCATATCCAGTTGTCCGTCCTTATCTATATCAGAAAGCTTCCAAATTTTGCCTAACACTGTATTGGGTAATTTCGATTTCACCATTTCCTGTTTGGCAGCAGCTCCAGAGATTTTTCCATCAACAGGATTGAGGCGGTTGAATATTGCATCAAATTTAAATCTATCCTTCTCAACCACCCATTCAACTTGAAGAGATCCTGCATCAGCACCTTCACCTCTACCATGACCAAATGGATTATTGACTAATGTATTTAAAGCACCACCTTGGACACTCTCCTGGCTTACTTCCTCTTGTTCTCTAGGAATCATAGACATGATTTTAGTAATATCTTCCCGAAGCATGGTATCAACATTTTCTAACAGTTTAGGTCGTAATGTATTAAATTTGTCAAAATCTTGCTGCAACAGCTTTTCCTGCATTAGTTTGATGTCTGGGAAATCACCAAGAGGAATTTGGTGTTCTTTTTGTATTTCAGCATAAATATTTCCCAATTTCTTAACCAATTCTTTCTTCTTTTGTTCTTTACCGAACACAGAAGGCATCTGATTTTTAATAGCACTTATGATGAAAGCATGTACCTAAAATATACAAAAATACAGGGTGTCAATTAGATTACTTTGAAATAAATTGATTTCTGAAATTACTCCTACTTATACAAACTCGTTAAATCAATGAACACAATGCACCAGATAAAAAATAAAAAAAACAGAAAATAAAGTTTTATCTAAAAAAAAAATTTAAAAAGAAAGAAATTTGTAACTCATCATATTGTCTCTCGATGTCGAATCGGATATATTATAATCACGCCAAAACTACCGCCAAATATGAGATCTTTAAAACAATGCAAAACTATATTTCAATAACACAGACATATATAATGGTAAATAAAAACGCTTTCGATTGACATTAAATAGTTTTCTACTTTAGAAGTCGTAACATATTTAAAATATTTAGTATGGACGCATAAAACCACCCAGAAAATCGAAAGAATAAAAATTCTCCCTAAAAATATTTTTCGATTCCACCATGGCCAATATGTATTTTTAAAATAGTCCAACTATAAATTCCTGATTTTGCGCTTATTTTCCGAAAGTCTTATTTTAAACTTTCTCTGGGAATTAATTATCAAAGGAGCAACCTGAACGCTTTTTGAAACTTAAATTAATAAATATCATTTCTGCTGAGAGTTAAAATATTCATCATACCTTAAAATTTATTTCTGGAAAATTTATTTAGGAAACTTTTTTAAGTATTTTCAAATCATCTGCTAATAACTGAAATGTTACGTAACTGTTAACTGATATTATTCTTTCTGAAATTCATTTTTTATACAATGGAAAAAATACTGTCTAAAAAAGCAGAGTATTAAAATTAGTAAAAATGATTCATTGAACTTTTGTGATGATGGTATTTGTGATGATGGTATTTGAGTTAAAAATCAAATACTTATTCCCGTTCTAGGTAGGTAAAAATATTAGTCGTTGCAGTGATAATTACAATTTTTACTGGCCTTGAAAATTATCAACGCTCAATGATTTCATCTAAAGTTAGTTCCGTTGTAACATTTCCTTGGTTCTATCCTTATACCAGACATTAAGTTTTTTAGTTTATTTTTTCGTTTATTTATTTACAGAATTTACTAAGTGCGATGACATAAGAGCCGGATGCAGTCAACTCTACTTTGTCAAACTCAAAATAATTCAGGATGTTACGTTTAAGGCATGATATTGCAAAAGAGAAGAAAAAAAAGAGGAAAAGAACGTGTAAGAAAAATAAAAAAAAAGGTTTTGAAAACGAATTCAAATAAAATCAAATTTAACACTATATCAATAATTTACAGTAATAGATTTTTTAAATTTTAGACAAGAGAATAAACTAAATTTATTAACAGATAAATAGGTCAGAAAACATAGTTGGAAAATGTTTAATAGAGTGTTAGTAACATAAAGAACCTTGAAATATTGGAATGTTTGTAACATTGAATTTTAATTAAGATTATTTTGTATCAAAAAACTATCGATAAAATAGGATACACTTGGATAACATAACTGACCGTAGAAACGTCATCTGCAACCTAACATAAACCTAGATTATAAAACGATTAAAAAATAAAGATATCGAAAAGTTCCAACTCTTACACAGTAGAGAATATATGGCTAAATTAACGGTCACCACTGGCTAAATATAAAAATGGCGATTAAAAATTGTCAACTAATTGCCACTTCCGTCGAAAAAGCAACCCGTATGGATATTATTAGATTTTTTTTTCTTTTTTAAGAAATGCCTTTGATTATTAATATCAAAAGGTTACACATGCGTTTGAAATTTTCAATAAAAAGTGGCCACATGTTTTAAAAACTGGCCACTGGCCAATAGCGGAATTACCTAATTTTGCCCTATAGTAAAGAATGCAATTTTCTATGTCCAGACAGCAATCGCACACAAATACGCAAGAAAAAAAGGGTTACAGATATTTAATGAAAATATTAGGCAAATACTTTTTTCTTCTAGTTGTTGATGCACGATTTTTTCTTTTCAGTTCAATTATTTGTACATACAAGTTTTATAATTTATATTTAAGTTTGTTTCATAATCAAAAACAATTTTTTTAAACCATATTAAGCAATATTTATAAAACAGTAATTTTTTAGAACTTCTAACAAAGCAAATAGATTAAACTGTCCGAGGTGAAAATGAAAGAGTAAAGATAAACGTTCACTAATATATCTAAGAGTTGGTACTTGTAAATTCATACAGAAGTCACACGAGGGAAAGAAAAAAAAACTGAGGGGTGTGTTCAGAAATAAGTTGATGAAAAAAAAGTTTATTTAGCAAAAATGAAAGATTGCTTGAAATTCTATGAAGATTAATACATTCCTGAAAACTAGAACAATGCAAAGGAATGAATGGGCAAATCACGAATAAAAATGTGGTAAAGTACTAGACCTAACACCTATACATTCGTCTATCATTTGTGTTGACACCTGCGAATACAAAATAAGGAATTACAAGATACGGCCATCTGGCTTTATATTAACTTTTACTTAGAGAAGTGGAGAAAAAAGAAACGACATATCACACAATAAAAATTTTCTACAGCATATTCAAGGAAAGAAAAAAAATTTATCCTACGAGAAAACAATTTCTTTTAAAATTCAAACTTTTAGGTAGACTAATTTAAATTAACTTAATACCGTGATTTATCAACTTAAAATCATGATTTAAAGCATTTGGTTTCGTTTTGAATTAAATCATTGAGATTAATGATATCAAAAATATTCTTATCCCTGGTTATATGGTAGATATATTTTTAAATCAGAATTTACGAGTTAAAACTTATTGTTGAGGCTCCGTAGCTTAAAATGTTTAAAAATAAATAAAATTCCTCCGATTAATCAATTAAAAAAAGTTTTAAAAAATATGACCATTAAACAATTTTATCTGTGAGCTTTTAAATTTGGACATTGCTCAAAATGCGCGTTTACGAAAATGGAAATGGCTCAAAATGTGCGTTTTTGAAAATGTATACAGTAAGAAATGAGTTTAAGAAAATGAACATAGCTCAAAATGCGCTTTTACAATTAATGTTAAGCAAAGAGTTCAGAATTTTGACACCGTATCAAAACCCGTAACGCAGATTAAAAAAAAGTTGTGAGTGAATTTTTATGTTTTAATATGCATAAATTGTCCTCTATAAGTTAAATACTAAATCTTTTGAATATTAGGTACTAATTTTAAACATAATTATTGAATAAATTTTATATATACCATACATTGCGCAAAATAAAAAGAAACAGAAAGCCGCAATAACTTGATATAATAATCGGATTTAAACGGACAATGAAGAAGTGATTCAGAGAACTAATATAAATGGTACTAATATAAAACAGAGTTTAAAAATGTAATTAATTACCTTAATTGATAGAAGTAATCAATCACTCGTAATCATGATTACACTGATGAATTACAATAGCCAATTACTTGTAACGTGATGGCAACTAAGCATAATTTTGATTACTACTGTAACCGTGATTACAAATAATCTAAATACAAGTAGTCAAGATACATGTAATAATCATTACTTGCAACAAGATTACAAGCAATCAAAATATACGAAGGTATTAACGCATGAATCTACATACAATATACACACAATATACACGTATGTGCATACAAAGTATGCACGTAATATGGAATAGAATGTTCATACAATGCATTTACTTGTATTGTAAATGTCTACAGACATACATATATAGTGCGTACGTACAGTGCGCAAAATAAAAAACAGACAAGCTTGAATAACTTTCAATCTAATGATCGGATCTTCACGGCCTAGGACACAATCTTAATGGTTCGTGGGGATAACCTCAAATATGCTAATTAATTAGCGCAGACGATATTTGAAACACCGAAATCAGACACAAAAAAGTACTTTCTCTGGATAAACATGCTAGTTTTTCAATGGATTCGAATTTCTGATCAACAAAATGTAGGAGGTAGCCTCAATTTGGGAAATATGGTCCCCATAGTTTGGTCGGGAAGGTGATCCAAAGTTCAAATCCCTTGATGTTAATTTTACTTTCTGCGTATATCGTGATATCTCGAGAACTTTTAAAGCGAATTGAAAAATTCTTGTACCCAATTATAAAATTCGTTTAGTTGTAATTTTACACAGCAAAATATGAATTTTGAGCGAAATCATTCGATAAGTTCTTATGAAATCGAATTTAAAGAAGTCATATACTTAAAATTCGATTTCTCAGAAACTTAATCGACTGATTTCGCTGAAAATTTGTATTTTGCCATGCAAAAATACATACTTAAAATATCGTCTGCAGTAATAAATTAGTATATTTGACGTAAACATCTCGAACCATTAATATTGAGTACTAGAACATGAAGATCTGATTATTTAGATCAAAAGTTATTCTGGATGGTCCATTTTTTTTTTTTACTTTTTGTTGCGCACTGCACATACGTACAATGTTTAGACATACTCTCTATCTATATTCTTTTAGTGTATGTCCTATCATGCATCTCACAATTGGAATTCATGATGTATTTGTATATTTTGATTACTGGTAATCAAGATTACATGTAGTTATGATTAACTGTGATCATATATTTTAATTACTTGCAATCGTGATTACTTGTAATTGTTTCTTGGTGTGATTGCAACTATTCAAGACCACATGTAATCAGATTACTTGTACTGATCACTAGATCCATGATTACTTGTAATCGTAATTACCTGTAATTACGATAACCTATAATTGCAATTACAAGTAGTTAATTATATAGTAATAATTATCTCTAATCATTTACAGATGTAATCAAGTACTGTAATCGACGCTCAATTCTGGTCTAAAAAGCGGAATTAAATGCTATGTTCATTTTCTTAACGTCCATTTTAAGCCATGTCCATTTTTGCAATTATCAATGCCCATTTTCGAAAACGCGAATTTCGAACTATGTCCCAAATTTAAAAGCTCTCCGATGATTTGCATGTATTTTCAATATTAAATAAATGGTTATCACGAATACGAAATTTGTATCCTGGTATGAAAGCTTAAATCCC